GTAAAATTTCTGGGAGCTTATTAAACCCAAAGCGTACTCCTCTTATCAGCCTTAAAACACAAGGATTCAGCATTACACTTATGTCATGTGTTACATTTAGAGATCTGGGTCTCTGCTGTTTTTGTTCCCACCACTCACCAACACACACTGGATTAAAGTGAGAATATTACCTATTAGTTTCTCATTCAAATAACATCATAAAACTGTAACTAAACTATTTTTTTTATTATTTTGATTTCATCAGTCTCTTATATTAGCAGAGTTTTTCCCTGAGTTTTTGCAGTGAATTTTGCAGGATTTCCTTTTGGGATTTCAGGATTTCAGTCATCATTTTGGGAATAAATATCTTTCGAAGTGAAATCCAGTGCAGTGCTAACACAGACAGGTCGACTTCAATTCACACTGTCATTCATATCTATGGCCGAGTCACCACCTAACCTAACAGGCATTTCTTTGGACAGTTGGAGGAAACTCATCCCACCTCTAGTACATTTTTGATACCACAACATCAAAAGTAGGAGGGAGACCCAAAAAAGACAATATTCTGCTGCCAGTTTTTAAACGTTTCTTTCCCAAATCAGCTTTTCTGTATTGGAGTTCACTAATAAAAATTATCTAGCTTCAAGTAGAACAGATTGAAACTGCTCCCACCAGAAAAAGTGGGGTTTTTTTGTTGTTGTTGTGGATTTAAACCCACCTCCTTCCTTCCAAAAAGCAAGTTTTTTTTCCAGTTCATGTTTTTTTGCTAAATTGTGTTGTGTTCTTTTGTGGCAGCGATACCAGGGACACAAACTAAAGGCAACCATGGAAAAATCACGTTACCTTTGCTGTCATGGTGGGGGGATTTCCCTGAGCGCTTGTGATAAAAAAGCTTGTTTACTGACATGCCTGGTGGAGAAATCACAAGCTTTGCTTGTTGTGAGCTTCTTGTGCTCTCACAGCTTTACACCTGAGCTGCAGCTGACATTTGAGTGGCAGCGTTAGCGCTTTGTCAGAAAAGCTGTGGAATTTATTTAAAGTCCGAAGTTCTGAGTTAGGTAAAAAGTATATATGTAACAAGCAGGGAGGTCGGTGGCTGCAGTCATTGAATATATGAATATCTGGAAACCTATTACAAAGACAAACAGCTAGAGAGAAAAAATGTGTACATGAAATAGAAAGCTTGATGGTATTACCCGCTGATAACAACGACAAAGAGTGAATGCAAATAGGCAAATAAAGAGAGAGGGAAATAGTTTGAGGTAAAGTCCTCTCGAGGGATACAAATGGTAAATGGCCTGTATTTATATAGCGCTTTTCTAGTCCCTAAGGACCCCAAAGGGCATACATTTACATATCCAGTCATCCACCCATTCACACACTGGTGATAGCAAGCTACATTGTAGCCACAGCCACCCTGGGGCGCACTGACAGAGGCGAGACTGCCGGACACTGGCGCCACCGGGCCCTCTGAGCACCACCAGTAGGCAACGGGTGAAGTGTCTTGCCCAAGGACACAACGACCGAGACTGTCCAAGCCGGGGCTCGAACCAGCAACCTTCCGATTGCAAGGCAAACTCCCAACTTTTGAGCCACGATCGCCGTGTCTGGAATAAATCTCTTTAATCTTCAAACTCTAAGCGTATTGTAAATATTATTTACAATAGTCACATATTACATACGGTAAATATTATAGATGTTGCGCATGTCAGCATCTGGATGTGCTGCGTCATGCTGGGCATCATGATTAGCTAGCGTGACTTTAACCAAAAAAGACAACCAGGACTGAGCCGCATCATTTTCCATCTAAATATCAATCTGACGTCAAAAGCAACACCAAATGCCAAAATGCATCAATTAGTGCTGAGAAGCAGTCCGAAATATCCCAGCACTTAAATTTGTAACAATCTACTGGCTCGTCAAAAATTCGATTAGAGAAAATTGCGAGCTACTAGACTGTGGCTATTAGAGATCAAATAAGTAGGAGATTTCTTTGTGTCCCAGCGCTTATTGAGTTTGCAGTTTGGCAAAGACAAATACCCAATAAAGAAAAATCAATATCAAAGAGACGAAAATAATCTAATAAATCTTTGCCCTCACTTGAGTCATAATTGATTCGAGGGCATCTGTAGCCTTTGTGTGAGCTTTATTAAATACGCTCATGTAAATGTACTCTTTTTTTTATGGAAATGACAGAGGACAAAAAGGAAATTAAACAAATTAGCATCAGAAATGATGATAAATTCGATATTATCCTTCATACTTGAGGGACGAGTGAGATAAGTTCATTCATAAATGGCATTTGAAGATGCTCCTCATAGAGACATGACCATTGTGGTGACTATGCTCCAGCTCTCAGAGGGCTCTCCGTTTCTCTGCAAATGGCTCAACCATGTGACCAGACAGCAGATCTCCACTTATGCAGCCTGACAGCATCCTGACAAAACATTAGTCCTGCATGAGAATTCACAGATTAAGCTGTTAGTCAGCGTAATGGGACTCTCAGAGTCCGCCGGTATCGCCTCTTATTATTATTGTGAATTGTGTCCATGCAATGAAAAAACAAACAGCAATCATGGGTGACTTTACTGGTGTGTTTCTGCTGAAACTGTTAACATGCTAAATAAAGTGAAGAGTCCTTTGAAATCAATTTTCTAGCTTTTGTTTCTGTACTTGAAGGTGGTTGAATTAAAATTTTGCTTTTTCTCCCCCTCTTTTCTTTTAGAGTGGGATTTGTTTGGATTATTGTCAATTTTTTACCATATTTAGCACTTTTTGTTAAACCATATTTGAAAACATCTCTTATCAAGTAGTGGGTGCTGACAGACAGCCTATTTTCCAACTCTTTTGGGACATTGGTATATAGATTTCTTTCTGTAATCTAAGCGATCCATATAAACACAACATTTGTTCAACGGCTCTATGCTTCAAAGTTTTATTTGTGAAATGGTCTCGAGTATAGGTCAGGTCACGCTGCTTCTTGGCGATTTTCTGCTTTGCCGTTCAGCAATACCCTGGAGTAAATCTTGTGGAAAGACCGAATCCCTTCCACCCAGACTATAAATGAACATGAGTCCATGTGCCTATACGATTACTTCAAGTCAGCTTTAGTCAGTGTATTCATTCAGGATTCTCTGGAGGATTTAGCTCGTGCCGTTCGCTTCAAAAATTGTCTGAAAAGTTGTGTGGTGACAGATGAGGAATGTGGAAGATGTTGATTTAATGAGCCTGATGTTGTGTGTGTGTGTTTACTTACGCATCCATGAAGGTGTGTTTGGCAAATTGGGAAATTGATTTATGGTAAAATAAGACTCGAGCATCTGAGCATGATGCGTAAATGCAGTCACAGAAGAGGTATTCAGTCACATGACCGCTCTGAGCTGAGCGGTGTTTATGCTGTAGAAACAACCTCCTGCTGCACATTCTTTCATTAGCATCTCACTGCCTGATATCATTTGGTTATAAGCGGCTTTGTTTATATGCACAGAGCAGCTTGTCTGTCGGTCACATTAAAATTAAGGTCTTTTAGTGGTTAAGCTGTTTACATGAACCGTTGATGCCCCATGAATGAATAAACCATGAACAAATTTCACAAATAAACCAAATGACAGAGTTTCTGCTGCAGAGTGAGAGAAATAGTAACTAAACATCCTTAAAATAACGTGGCTCAATATTTTTTGTGACCATCTAAAGAAGTCTCTATAGGAAATCCACAAAAAAGAAGAAAAAATAAACTCAATCAGAAATATTAGAAGTGAAAGTTCAGTTCCATACAAATCAATAGAAATCAGGTTATGGAAAGCAGATAATATCGGTCACAGATTTGTGTGATTCTCTTTTATTGCATACTTCATTTCAAAGTCAGGAGGTTTAAAAAACAAAAGAAAAGCTATAATGAAAAAAAAAGAAATAGAAAAGAACAGAAAACTCAAAATATCACCCTGTGACAGACTGCGACCTGGCCAGGGTGTACCCCGCTTTTTGCTCTATGGTAGCTGGGATTTCTCAAGAAATTGTGTTTTTTCTAGGAGTGATTTATACCAGTTTTGAAAGAAAGTCTCACACCATCCAGTCAACGCTCTCTGTCAATATATTATGGAATTATGTTGTAATTAAATTAATCTGGTGAGGTGCAAAATGTTGAGACGTGCAGTATGAATCACTCAGAAGGTTCCAGCAGAATCATTCATTTATTGTTTTTTGCCTACGTATATCATCTTACAATAGAGCCAACCTGATATATCAGCATGGTCAATATCGGGCAATATATCAGTACCAGCATTTACAACAGAATTAAAAACATCAAGAAGAAATAGAAACACCCTTCAACCATATTATGAGTCCGGAGTGCTGTTTCATAGTTTACCCACCAGAGGGCACTCTGCAACCTTACTGTCACCAACACCAACAACCAGCTGATTTTAGCTGACAGATGATACACAAGTAAGATATACAATTTGTAACAATTTTTTGCAAAAAGATTATTATTATTATTAAAATGTAATCTGATATTATTATAACTCATAATTAACAAATCAGGAAAATCTGAAAGAAAACATAACCCTCAATCTATATATAATATCTATAGTAGACCTATCATGATTAACATTTTTAATTATTTTTATTCATATTATCATCAGATGTTAAACAATAGGCTGTTAGAGTAAATTTTAAGCAGTATGTTGTGGGCATGGTAGTATTATCTGGTGCATGCATTCTTGCCTGGATCATTATGTGGGGTTAGATGAATGGCAAGATACGGATCAGTCAATATCTGTAACAGCAGAGTGCCTTTCTGCAGGCTCAGGTAAAGTACAAGTCAATAGCGGCTCACATTAGCAGGAAAGACTTTTTGTGGCACTTTGCAGAGTTTGGTTTTTTTGCCGTTGTTTGCTGTTTGCAGTGACCTGTTGGGTCACTGACAATGTCACAACGTGTCCAATTTGAACCTAATGGGTGGCAGGCAGAGGAAATGTAACGCTTGGGTGGCTGTGACCTCTTTGGTTCTTCTCCGTCTCCAGGTAACCTTTCGAAAACCTGTACAGAAGATGGCTGGACCGAGATGCATCCTATTGACATTGCTGTGAGCTGTGGATACAATCTCAACAGCACTAGCGATGATGTGAGTAGACTGACACAGTCTCATAGTGAATGACCAGAGCTGCACAGCGGGAAATGGTGTCCAGAGCCAGCAGTCAGGAAGAATTGAATGAGAAGCTCTTTTCTTTGCTCTGTGGGTGGGTGTTATTGGCTGTATTGGGGAAATTACTGTATTGATTGGTTGCCACTGTGTACCTCATATACGCTTTTGTTCACTCCTATGTATTGAGTTGTCTCAAGTGACTGAGTCTACAGAATATATAGAATGAAGCTGTCAAAGAATACTGTTTATATTTTCATGTACAGGCTTTTTATTATTGTTGGACTAAATGTCAATATAATATAGAAATGTACAGAAATGTCAGGAAACAGCAAGATGAGGAAATTAATGAACAGCTGTTTGTTAGACAGCATTTTAAGAAATTTTCTTATAAAGCAAAAGTTAGCAGGAACACAGCAACATGCCCAACTAACTTAACAGCTTAATGCAGTATGTTCCTTAGTATAGTCAATATACAGAGGAAGGTGCATTAAATTCACTGATTCATAACTGTGAAGTGCTGCGTTAGAACGCGAGATACTTTGACTAGTTCAATATAAAGTGTGGAAGTAGATAACCTGCTAGTCTTTACAACGCTAAAGATAGCATTACTTAGCATTACTGCATTGCTAAAGCGTACTTATTTCTACATACTGTATTTACATAGTCGCTAACTTAAAATTGTAATCTGATGCATGCAGATTACACAGGTCTGCAAAAAAAGTTTTCCAGCTGCATGGGATAATTTTGGGTAAATCTGATGTTTTTTAGGTACTGAATCTAAAAATGATCTCCATTTCCCTCACAGTTTTTCTTTTTTACAAAACAGGAGGAGTTTACATTTAAAAAAAAAAAAGCACAACAGCAATGAAAAAATAAATATTTTATTACAATTAACTATGCATAATTTTTCGGAGATTCCTTACCTTTTGCTATGAACAAAATAAACCTGTTGGGACATGATCATATGAGCTCCTCACACTGCCAAACCCACCGTGCACTCCCCCTCCTACTGACCCCTCAATCCCTTGCATTTTCTATTTGTATTTCTCTTGAGTCTCGCTCTTAGAAATATTCAATTAATGTGAGAAATCATTAGTGGATACGATTTTTTGACTCAAGTATAGGATACCAGATTTCAGTTTAAAAGGGGAAATGAAACTAAAAACATGAGTTTTGCTAGAAAACCTGATGTGATGGAATTTTTAAAATGTTTTTCCCGGTTTCAGTAAAAATCCTAAGCAGTTTTTTGGTTGCAGACCTGTGTTATTTAAGAGGAATACATGTTTGTGTACAGATTCAACAAAGAGTAACAATGTGTTCTGATAAATGTATATTTTAACTGTAAAGATAACCAGAGTAGCTGTACCCTGTGCTAGTCATACATTGGGAGAAAGATGGGATTAGAAAGTAAATCTATGGTTATAAGGTAATTTGGTTTGATGCTGTAACAAAAACATTCGTATTGTAATTAAAATACGAATGTCTTTGAAACACAGTTGACATAATTGACACAGACAGGTCAGTAATAACTCCCGCCTCCGTTATCAGGCATTATGAGTCATTAGAAGTTATTCAGAATCCTTCCAGGAGTAGGACCAGAATAAATAAATCAAATGCTGCTCTTATTTAGTTCAGTTTTACTGCAGCCAGAGCTAATCTTGTCCGTGTTGACGAAGGTGGAGCAGAGTGAAGAGTGGATGTGCACTGCAGGGTGGTAAAAGCTTTCTTGGTGGGCACTTTGCTCTCTGAGTCAAAGAGGCGGCCTCATTAGTATGCCACATAGGAAGTCAGGAGGGACCTGGCCCGGTGAAGTACTCTAAAAGGAATTTGATGTCCATCTTACTGCAAACATGATATGTGTGAGTGTGCCAGAGGATGCAGGAGATCTTAATTTAATTTCCATCAAGCGCACAACATACAGTGGCATGGCAGTAACATAGCGAAGCTTCTCTGAAAGGATCCAGAAATTCAGGATGCTGTTACAGTATATCGCATGACTGGACTGATCCAGTATTTGGTAAGAGAGAGACACAAATCCGTGGTTCAAGAGCTCTTCAGTTACAACACTTAAAAATGACAGGAGTGGAGCCTAGATGCTTAACAACAATAATAAAAGATGTCTCTAAGCCAAAAATTGAAAAAAATCAATGTTTTGAATGGTTAAATCAACTAACACAAGTGATGTCACTGTTTGAGTGTGTAAACATGCACCGGCTGTTTCCTTTTCTTTGATTTGTTCTCTGTTTTTATGTTTCTTTGTGCAGGGAAAGTTTTTTTGGCAAGTGAAGATCGGCTACACCATCGGCCACAGCGTCTCGCTCGTCTCGCTTACTACCGCTATTGTGATCCTCTGCATCTTCAGGTATGTAGATGCACAATAGCTCAGCTGTTTTATATTAAGTACTTATGTGCTATTTAATTGCACTCACTGTGAATTTCATTCCATCTGGATTAACTTCTTTTTATGTGGTCAGCTGTTTAGAAAAACGATGAACGGAACAAAAAGCGAGACTTTTGTGAAGAACATCAGTACGTGCTATTATCTACAAAGCACGCTGACAGTGGCATTATGCCTGCCGGCTGATGTGACATGAACATTGTGACAAATTGCACATTTCTGTGTCACGCGTCAAACACTTTTCACTGGAATTTGATCGTCTCTGATCACTGCAGCTTCACACCCGAGTATAATAGCAGGCTTAAACCAAGATGAAAGATACAAATAGCTTCCAAATGAAATAAACTGTCACTCAAACTCTGCTATCTTTTGATGGCGCATGCAGCACTTTGAAGGTTAGACGTTTGAAGTATTGCAAGATAAAAAAAGGACCGGCATTTTTGCTTGATAAGCCAGGGAACGATTGTAACCTCCTCAAGTGCAATTACAGTTCTGAGGAAGAATAAGAAGCCAGCTTTAAATTGCAACATCTTCACCCTAAAAGATAATGAATGGACATTTCAAGAGTGACTCGCATAATACCGCACATTCCTTTTTTTGGAAAAACTGCTGTATGCAATTTGTCTGCCTGAGTAGGACGCGAAGTGAACTTTTCTCGCTGAATGCTGCAAAGAAATAACTTTTGTGTACAAAGACTGTATGTGTAAATGGGTGGGCCACATTCGAGCACTTCTTCTTCCTGTGTGCTTCTGAATTTTATTTTTGGTCACATTTTTCTTTTTGAGTCTTTTGCCGATCATGTCACCGGAAAGTGCCTTATTGAATTAGTTGCTGATAAGAGGCACTTTTCATGCTTTCTGCAAAGACAAGCAATAGGTGTGTCCACCTGAGAGTTTTGCTCACCGTCACGCACCCAAAGTCACAAGGCCGGCCATGGTCAGGGAGATAAAAGGTGTGAAGGTGTGAAATCAAAACAACCCACAGATTTGAGCCAGAAAGAGCGTTATGACCGTGGGGTATTATGAGCAGTATTAGTGCTATATGGTTCACTACACACATTTCTAAAAGGCAACATATGCAGGAACCCCAACACATTAAAAGTAGATTGGATGAACAGTTGTTGAACTCATACAGACATTAAAAGTCAGGTTTACAGTTTCTAGAGTCAGATGTGAGACCATCTGTCTGACACTAAAGGCTGACCGAAACTGAATAAAGAAGAACTAGAAGAAAGTAGAAGTAGAAGAAAAATAGGGATTTAAATGAAATAGCAGTTGCTGTTTGATGTGAGTATAAAATCTGGGTAACATTGGTATCATGGCAATTTACTCTCCTGGGAATGAGGTACGGTTAAATGAAACTGTTATGATGTCCAATGGAACATTAACTGACTGGGCACGTGCTGTACTCCAGGCGAATATTCACCTGCCCAGACAACAACCATTTCTGACTTAAAAAAGTGATTGAAGCTATTAGGAACCTGTTTTCCCCAATTACCTCTAAAGTATGATAATGTAGTCAGCAGAAGAAGTGTTAAAAGAACTGATGTTTTAGGACTACTTGCTTCTACTACTGTAACTTCTTGGAAATCCACCTCTCCTGCCTATTTTCAAAGGTGTGTGAAGAACCATAAAAACCATTTATTGTGCTCTAAAACTGATCCACCCACACAGTGAAAGGGAACTAAGAAACTTAATTATGATTTAACTGTCTGTGAATTGCTGTCATTTTAAGCTATTAACTCTGAGGACATTGTGTAATTAGCATGCAGGGCCTCTTTATTGAATTCTCCGCGTGTCTTGTCGCTTTGTCTTGATCTGTTTTCTTGTATCTCTCATTCTGTGTGTCCTAGGAAACTCCACTGCACAAGGAACTACATCCACATGCATCTATTTGTTTCATTTATCCTGAAGGCCATCGCTGTCTTCATCAAAGATGTGGTTCTCTACGAGGTCGGGGAGGTGGACAACTGCTCCTCGGGCTCTGTGAGTTAATGCTGCTTGTTAATGATTGCTCTCCTAGAACTTCAGATAACTCAGCAAGACTTCAATACAGTCAGTATTGCAGTACATTCAGTACAGTATTAGTACAGTATTGTAGCATCACTGATCATTATTGATAATTACTGACATTTTAAGTTCTCATATCATAGCTGATGAATAACTTAAAAGTTTTGAAAACGGCTTGTGTCAATTTTCAGTTTCAATCTCACAACAAAAGCCACATATTAGCCAAGTATGTTAATATTAAAATAGTAATAAAAACATGGACTTACAGCCCACAGTCTTTAATTGTTGTCCTTTGGCTTTCAACCATCACCCCTTCACAATGAGCCACAGTCCAAAGCCCCGTCAGGTGTGTGGCCAATAAACATGAGGTTCATGTTACAGAATTTAGCCACACAATGAGCAGAGGCTCACTCTATTTGTTAGTGAGCTTTGTGGTCGGCTGCACTACGTTAATGGACTCGCTGGGTTGACAGGAGCCAGCTGCTATCATGGCACATTTGAAAGAGACATTATAGAGACGGGTCTGGTGCTGCGGTGCTCATCGTGACCCCAACATTAGTTCCATTACAGCTGTTAGCATTGCTTCTGCTGTGTTTATCTGTATGTGTGCAGGTGTTCTGCATGCTCCATTCATTATCTCTTCTCATACAGCTGGATGTTTGCCATAGTTATTAAACACCCGATTAATTCAAAGCATATTTAAAAAATGCATTTTTTAAGGTACGAGCATGGATCCGTGTCTAAGCTTCCTGTCATTCCCTGATTTTCCAGTGGCATAATATCTCACAATTTACCCTCCTTTAGCGACTAACGGCAGGCTTTTTAAAACTCAGCTCCAGCAATCAATTTGTACTGATTTGCACATATTAAACTAAGCAGCAAGGCTTAGGCAGCCCATCTGGGTCCGTTTTCTTCCCCCTCAACATGCCAAGTGGGAATCAATTTATATGGGTTACAAAATTCCTGTCAGCCCAGTAACAGCTGCTTCAATGAGCTGTCCCAAACTTTAACTCCATGCACAAGGACTAAAACAGAACAAGACATTTCTGGATTATGTGAATATTTTCAATACAGCGCATGTTTTTGGAGAAGCTAGAAGCAAGACATTTCATACATAAAGACTTCTGTCTACTCAGACGGGTTGCTCGTTTTGTCTATATTCTGCCTGTGTAGAACATAGACTGCATACAAAAGATTGCCAAGGCCACTGAAAACAGAAAAAAAGAAATCACTCACCCATACTGGAGACTTTTTAGACAGGCTGCAACATATTTTTGGTATTAAAAGTGCTGCAAACAAAGTCAAGAGACCCAGTTCTTGGATTTAAATTAACTGAGTTGATGACTAGCAGAGAGCCACCAGCACAATGTCAGCCTCGAATGCTAGTTTCTTTAAGTCTCCTAGTCATTAAAAATCCTCACGTTCAAGCCAGATTCAGATATTATCAGATAGCCATAGATTATCATGTTTATTTAGCTTTCAAAACCTATTTCCCATTGAAAATATGTTTTCTTTAAGATTCTGTGCAATATAGATTTCACCTGGGCTGTTTAATCTATAATAATGTATCATGTGTATAAAATCTAAATATAGAAACTGCAGCTATAAAAAAAAATGCGATGGGTAAATATTGCAATATCTCCATCTAAAATGTACTACAGTAGAAAGTGGCTATAACAAAAAACGTGTCGTGATTGCATTTTGCATTTTAGATTTTTTGCACAAGAGGTAGGTTCTGTCCAACTACACATCATGATTTGTTTGTTCTTCTTTCAACTCAATTGTCGTGACAAAGACCTGACAGCTTTTTCTGATTTTCTTTTCTTTATTGTGACTTTATTGTCTTCTTTACTGTCCACTTTTCTCTACCCATAATGCCCTTCAGCCCAGCCCTTCCTATTGTGTTGCTGTACTCCAGCTGCTAAAGTGCTCAATGCATTCACTCTTACGGAGTCTTTTTAAAGGAGCACAGTTTATTGATTTTTCTTATCCGTGTGATGTCTTCTGTGTAGGATCTCCGCGTTGCTCACTCTAAAGCTGCTTGTACAACCTTGTAGATCTGACCAGCAGAGTGAATTTAGAAACACTGCAGGCAAAATCAGCCTTTTTATACATGTCATTGTGTAACAATGTCAATAGCAGCCTGCCTCCCCAGCATTCAGCATCGGCAAGCTCAATTTTGAATGAACTCATCCACCCTCACGCAAACGTTGTTCAGCCAACCAAAAGAGATCTTATTGTGTTTTCCTGTGTTATGGAAATCTTGTGAATGCAGACTCAGATGTCTTACACAGAAACATTTTATTCAGCTATCATAATATCAAGCAGAATAAGCACGCCCAAACAGGCTGTGAAGGTGTATTGTTTCCCAGCGAAGAAGCTTATTCCCTATCAGGGCATCTACTACTACTACTCATAAATCTACTAATTCAGCACACTTGCCAGTTCAGTCACACTCAGCTTCGGCTAATCTCAGAAGCTATGGGTCATTTTGTTCTTTGGAAAAACATTCTTTAAATCCAATCTTTCGTAAATGCTTCATGAGTGCTTCAGTGTTAATCCTGCTCACTTCCTGCATTATATTTCGGAACATTTCTGCACTTTGGCAGCTTTGCTTTCACTGAATGAGGCAGAGAGCTTATAAAGTGCAGGCTGAATAGGACACAGATTTGCACTACCTTTAAAGCCATTATTTACAAAAGTTTCATAAGTAGTAACTCACTTATTTAGTGCAATATGTCCATGGAATTTATTGATAATAAAAGAAGCATTTGAGTGAATCTCTGCTTCCAAGTTATTAATAAGGGCACAAGAAAAACTAATTGTCATTCTACTGCAGTCATAGGATTCATATTGATATATAAGAACACAGATATATACCTGCTTTCACCAACAGGAAACAAACAACTCCAATTTATTCTTTCATTTTCTAAATGCAGTTTTTGGCCACAACTGGGAATAAATTTCACCGTATCATCTTCAACATAAGGTTGTCCCTGTTAACTAGATCATTGTATGATTCATGCTTTTGTGTCCATTGCCAGGTTGGCTGCAAAGCAGTGATTGTGTTTTTCCAGTACTGTATAATGGCCAGTTTCTTCTGGCTGCTGGTGGAAGGCCTTTATCTGCATGCATTGTTGGCCGTTTCCTTCTTCTCCGAGAGGAAGTACTTCTGGGCTTATATTCTGATCGGCTGGGGTGAGAAAGTCTTGTTTCTTGTTCTATTAGCGAGACCTTATAGAGTGTCAGCAGTACATGAACTACATGTCGAGAACCTTACAGCTGGAATCCACAGTAACTTTTGTCGTATACTTTTTTTTGCCCCCAGGCGGTCCAGCAATTTTCATCACAGCTTGGAGCATCTCTAAAGCCAACTATAATGATGTGGGGTGAGAGACTAAGGAAGTGCTAGACCAGAATCGAGCAGAAAATACTCTTTTGTGTTGTTTTGTTTTTGTTTTGTTTTTTTTTGGGGGGGGGGTTGCTTTGTTTTGCTACATCTTATACATTAAAACTCTTTCATGTCTTACCAGGTGCTGGGATATAATAGAAAACACCGATGTGTTCTGGTGGATCATTAAAACTCCTATTTTGGCATCAATTCTGGTAAGTTCATGAGCTTTAAAAACATTTTCATGGTTTACATCAGCACTAACCAGCTTGAGCTAGCTCTTTCAAAGTAAATGGCACTAAGAGTGGAAAAGTTGTCTTCATTCGTCTATTCTGACACAAAGACTGAAACCTATCTCTAGTTAAGCTGCACACAATCCAAGATATATACAGATGTAGTGGTAAAAGTATTCTCTTGCTATCCAAATCATTGAATTCAGGTGTTCCAATCACTTCCATGGCCACAAGTGTATAAAAGATCTAGTCATGCAGACTGCTTGTACAAACATTTAGGAAAGAATGGGATGCTCTCAGGAGCTTTGTGAATTCCAGCGTGGTACTGTAATAGGATGCCACCTGTGCAACAAGTCCAGTTGTGAAATCCCCTCATTACTAAATATTCCACAGTCAACTGTTAGTGGTACTATAACAAAGCCATGAAGTGGTAGGCCACGTACAAATCACAGAGCGGTGAACTGTGCACCTCAGTTCACAGAACTCGCCAACTACAGATATCCAAACTTCATGTGACCTTCCGATTATCTCAGGAACGGTGCATAAAGAGCTTGATGGAATGGGTTTCCATGACAGAGCTGCTGCATCCAAGCCTTACATCACACAGTGCAAAACAGTGTTGTATGCAGTAGTGTAAAGCACGCTGCCACTAAACTCTAGAGCAGTGGAGATGTGTTCTCTGGAGTGACAAATCAGGCTTCTCTGTTTGGGCAATCTGATAGATGAATATGGGTTTGGCAGTTGCCAGGATAACGGTACTTGTCCTATACACTGTGCCAAGTGTAAAATTTGATGGAGGGGGGATTATGGTGTGGGATATTTAATCAGGAGCTGGATCTGCCCCTTAGTTCCAATGAAAGGAACTCTTAATGTTTCAGCATACCAAGACATTTTGGACAATTTACAGCTCCCAACTTTGTGGGAACAGTATAGCAGTATGCCACTTCCTGTTCCAACATGACTGTGCACCAGTGCCCAAAGTAAGCGCCATAAAGACACGGATGAGAGAGTTTGGTGTGGAAGATCTTGACTGGCCTGCATAGAGTCCTGATAACAACCTAGCAGAACACTTTTGTGATGAATTAGACTGGAGACTACAAGCCAGGCCTTCTCGTCCAACATCAGTGTCTGACCTCACAGATGCACTTGTGGAAGAATGGTCAAAAATTCCCATCAACACATAAAGCCTTCCAAGAAGAGTGGAAGCTGTAATAGCTGAAAAGGGTGGGATGACATCATATTAAACCCAATGAATTAAGAATGGGATGTCACTTAAGTTCATGTCCTTGTGAAGGCAGACAAGCGAATATATTTGGCAGTATAGTGTAGAAACAAGTTATAGTATTATGCGACAAAAGGACTCCAGAAGGCAATAGTGTCCAGTCAAACCAATAATTTAATCCATCATACTCAGTAAAACCACAGATATGGACTTTTACACTGTGGTTCTGTGCTCGTATTCAAGTCTTTGATGAAATTCAGACAGAAATAAGCTGTTAAAAGCAGCTGCTTGCCTCATTTTTAAGTCACAGTTTCAAAGTCAAGATAACAGGCTGCTGGAAAAAAGTTTAATATTTAGCATGCAAATTTGAAAGCAGAAAGGTAATTTAAAAAATGAGTTTTTCTCCAGTGCACGGATCAAAACCCCAAAAGATAAAAATGCTAAAGTGTGACAGCTCAGATGCAGATTGAACCACATCTCTAGTAAGAAAAACAGACTCTAATCTCTGCGTGAGTGAGACTATTTCAGAGGTGTGCAAAGCGTTCAGCGGATCCCGTTGAAATACTTCTTCCTTCCTTCTCTTAAATGTACTAATGTGCACCCTCATTGATGTTTTATTTTGCAGGTCTGTAATTTCCTAACCATTTTTTTGTTCAAATAAAAGTTTACAACAGTGCACAAGAGAGGTGAAGAAGAGAGTGCAGGCAGGGTGAAAAGACTTGTGTCAAGGGTGATTTGTGACAGAAGGATAGCAGCAACAGTGAAAGGGAAGCAGAGAGTGGGGAACAAGATGGTAGTGAGACCTGCTATGATGTATGGTTTGGAGATGTGGCAATGACAAAAAGACAGGAGGCTGAGCTGGAGGTGGCAGATCTTGAGATTTTTATTAGGAGTGACCAGGAGGGACAGGATTGGAAATGAGTACATCAGAGAGACAGCTTAGGTCTGGACATGTGCAGAGGAGGGATAGTGGATATACTGGACAAAGGATGTTGAATATGGAGCTGCCAGGCAGGAGGGAAATAGTAAGACCATAAAGAGTGTTGAGTGAAATAGAGACCGATGATCTGTGGCGATGAGCAGTTGCAGTTGCAGTAAAAATAAATGCTTAGAGACATATGCTATAGAGAAACGTTGCCAAGCTCATGTGTCCATTTGAACACAATGAACATTAAAGCTGCATGTTAGTGAACACTGGTAGCTTCACACAGTGTTAGTTAGCTTTTACACAACCCAACACATGCTAGTACTCAGGTTTTTCTTTTTGCTAATACAAACTTTGTGCTTGAATTTCATTTAAATGGTTTAACTACTTGAACACTTGTTTTGGTCTATAGTATGCTAATACTCAAAAGTGGCCCACTTTTTAGAAGCCTGCCTATAGCTTTACTCGAGCATTAACCTAATTTAACGATACCAGAAGCATTATCAAAGTTGAAAAGAAGAACAGACTCTGGCTAACAGCATGCAAAAACCAGGCCAAAGTCCAAAAATGTACATTTTTCACTTTTAAATTAAGAAAACAGATTTATTTTCTATGATTTTTTAACTTGAAGGTCGTCTAATCTTTAAGTTGTTGTTGTTTAGTAATGATGTTGTCGCCATGGTTATGAGATTTCTAGTAACTGGCATAACATATGTGTGTTGTCACATTACCTATTTGGTCACTCGTGAAGTGACCTGAAGTGAACTTAGCATCTTATCAGCTTTCTTAATGGAAGTAATCGCTATAGTAACAAACACTGGAAATATTGTCCGGTTGCTCCTGATTACGTCATTTCTTGGCCATTTTTGTGCAGCTGGGGTCCACAGCCTACGTCTTTTTGTGTTCTGCGTCACATTTATAGAAAATCTAGCGGATGCTTTTTGAACCTTTTGCAAAGAACCAGCTGTTTTCTGTGTTTAAATATTTGTGGTTAGCTAAATCATGAGTGGTACTGATCTTCTCATGGAAGGCGAAAAAAAAAAGAAGCTTTTAATATAATTTCCAGCTATTAAAAGCTTGCTCTGGACAAAGTGTCATAGCAGACGCCTACTAGTGTCCAAATGGGTCTGTTTAGTTATTTGCTAGCAGTTGTTCCCAGAGGAGCTAGGGTCAGCTTCATTATTTAACATGAGTGTCAGCGGCCTTACTGTTAGTACACTCTGTTTTTCTGTACTTAGCCAGTGACTGATAGCTGGGAGTGCATCATGATGACTGATGTGTTGCAAGTTCACACTCACAGCCCAAATCATCAGTTTAGAAATGCTCATTTTCCCACAGGCCAGCGCCACAATCCAACGCTTCTGTTTATGAGTTGAATCTCACAAACATCTCCCCATATGCATTAGATGCAGTGTGAAATGCCTCAGTGCTTTTCTCACATGACTTTTGTAATGTATTCTCCACAGATGAACTTTATTCTTTTCATCTGCATCATTCGGATACTTCGCCAGAAGATAAACTGCCCCGATATTGGAAGAAACGACTCCAACCAGTACTCGTGAGTGTAATTAAATTTCTTTTTCATGCTGGAAGTTTGTTTTATGTATCAGCTAATAAAGGATGAAATGTCACTGATACGAACGAGGGTGTTTGGAAAGAGCTCCGCCACTTCTGTCTCGGTGGACATTCTGTGAACATTAGCTGCTTTTGTAAGGATAAACAAAGATTCGTTTGAATAAACTTGCAGAGCAGCAGAGTAGCACGCACTCCTGAGTATTCTTCCTGTAACTATTGCTGCAAATGTAACTTTTTTTACACTCAGAGCGATGCAGGGATAACTAGTCCTTTTGGATTTCAGAAAAGAAAATCTTAGCATGCACAGCACACTGTGGTTTTCCACCATCCAGCAGCTGCTTTACACAGAGAAGTAGTGCTATATGTATTTAAGTGGTTTTTCATATGATGGAGAGCATCTCATAAGCCAGTCATAATGCATGAGCTATTTTCCAACTGACACTTTTCATGGTGTTTTTTTTCCCCCCCCTCCGTCTCTGGTCTGCTGAGCTGAAATTTAAAATGAAAAGTACTCCTGAGCTGCATTTCATTATTGGGATATACAGAGACAGATTGGATGCTGGTTTGACTGGAGGGAGGGATTTGAATTTGTTTTTGCCTTATCATTTCAGGCGACTGGCAAAGTCAACGCTGCTTTTGATTCCGCTGTTTGGGATCAATTATATAGTGTTTGCATTTATCCCCGAGCAAGTGAAGACTGAGCTGCGGCTGGTTTTTGACTTGATTCTGGGATCATTTCAGGTATGAGATCAAATGTTTTTGAGAAAAAAGTGATTGTTAAAAAAATACCTGTAGATTCCTAAAATCCAGTGCATTAAAATAAATGTAGTCTTCTAGAAGTGTGGTCACTTAAACTTTTAAAAAGTCCAAAAATAGTGATTTGGCATGCTTTCAGCCCTGAACTGGCGAGTGCTACTATTAAAGAAAACTGCATCAGGCCTCCAAGCACTTTGCTGGCTGGCTCAGTGGCACTGTCACTGTTTAAAGCTCTGATGTTATTTCATTTAATGAGGAATGATGGAGAATGCAGCCAGACAGCACAGCTGCATTACAACAGCTTGGAAGATATGGAAACCTTTCCAACACAATCCTCTCCTTACTCCTTTTATTCCCCCTTCTTATTACAACTCGACTCCCATTTGTTTTGTCTGTGTAATACATTTATGACTGTCATGACTGCCACATGTTATTTTTTACAGCTTTTCCTCTGTTGCTTTGGCTTAATTAAGACAGTTAAAGCTGTAAGAAGGTATTTGGAACACAAACACAAGTGTCTACAATCTTTATAACCAAGAGAGATTAAGTCTTCTTCATGAGTTAAATAGTTGTGCTCACCAACTACTTTGTTAGGTACTCGTTGCTAATACTGGACTGATGCCCCTTTTGCATTCGGAACTGACTTGATTCTCCGTGGCACAGAGTTCCTCAGAGATTTTGGGCAATATTGACATGACAGCATCAAACAGTTGCTGCAGATTTGTTGGCTGCACATCCATGATGTGAATCTCCAGTTCCACTACAACCCAAATTGAGATGGGGTGACTGTGGCGGCCATTTGGGTACAGTGAATTTGGCTAATAAAATATCCCCAAACACCATTACACCACCATCACCAGCAGTCTGGTCTCTCGATACAAGGTAATCCAGATTCATGCTTTCATTTTGGTAACACCAGCCTACCACGTTTTTCCAATCTTCTGTTGTCCAATTTCCCTGAGCCCGTGAGAATTGTTGCCTCCTTGTCTTAGCTGACACGAGTGGCACATAATGTGGTCTTGTGCTGTTGAAGCCCAGCTGTTACAAGGTTCAGTGTGTTGTACCTTTAAGCCCCTTTTCCATTAGTACCTACTACTAGTAGTCAGATCATCAAACCCATTTCCCATTAGGTCATAGTACCTGGTACAGGTACTTTCTTAGTACCTGCTTGCCCGGGTTTCCAAGCGATCCGAGCATGTGCTAAAATGTGACATTGTCAGACTGCATGCACATCACAAAGGAGTGTGGAATTTCTCGGGACTTGGATCAGCTAATGTCACATACTGTCCAGTTAGCTAACAGCTGAGGGCCATTAGTAGGAGTGTTGTAAAACACATTTACTGAGCTTTAGCGCACCAACGTGTCACCAGTTTGAAAACAAGGAAGAGCCCACTCAGATACACCGAGGAATCGGACTGGACATTGAAGAGAGAAAGGAGTAAGGAGGTGGGAGGGAAAGATGACGTAAAAAAAAAAGTGTAGTGAAAGTTTGTGGATTATACAGGGGTTTCTCGCTTCTTACACTGCAAGGGAGAGCATTAACCGTGAGGTGCATGAGAATCGGGAGAGCGAGGGAAGTCCAGTGAATCATACAAGTTAAAATCATGTCTTGTTGAATCTCTCAGATAATAATAATAACAGTTCCACAGAGTAGGTATTCAGATTTGCTAAAAACACGGGGAAACCATCCTTAGTGCTAAGATCTTAAAAAGGATGCCTCTGAAACTGAGAAAAACTGTAAAAATAACAAATAATTGATAAGACGAGATGATCAAAGAAGAAATTTAACCATTACATCCTCTGCTCCTGCTTTCTTATCAGTGTTTTTCTTTCCTTTTAGGGCTTTGTGGTCGCAGTCCTTTACTGCTTCCTGAACGGAGAGGTAGGTGATGTAAACACTGCTGATATAAACACACCACAGTACTTCCACACAGAGATAGCCTGCAGTCGTGCTCTCATTCTCAGAAAATGTAGTTTATCTGTAGTTTCTCCGTCGCTCCCTGTGCGCACCATTTACATTCACACACAGTCCTGACAGGTAGATGGAGCGGCGGGTATGAGTCACCGGCGCTTGTCGTTCCAGCTCCTCTCTTGGACCTCCCCACAGCATATTTTCTGCACTTTGCCTGCAGGGTGGGAGGGCTGTAAAAAGCACAGTCTTTTTGGCAGGGAGCTATTCAGTGATGTCTGCACAGGCTCTCTGTGGGCAGATTATTTATGTTCTCAGTGCTGGGCCAGATTGAATCTGGGCTAGATGGCGAGGCTTCACACTATGCTGCCTGAATTTTAATCTCATGCAACTTCCAGGTGTCCTTTACTAAGTGTGGAAGATTTGTGCACTGCTGGTAAGTTATGTTAGGTTTAGTTGTTGAATTCTCGGTGCTTAAGGAATGGCAGACATGTCGATAGCAAGAAAACAAATATTGACAAGGTAGAAGTGGAAGAAAATGACTGAAGAAAAAGCTATATTGATTTTCTTTTTGCCTAAATAATGCAAAACAGTTTTTAAAGTGTCATACTCTCGTAAAATTCAAGCAAAAGAAAAAAATGCTGGACTCGATTGCGAGGCAGGACTGTCTTTAAAAAAGAAGATACGTGGGTCCAAATGAGGGGTTGAGGGTTTTCTGGAGAAGCCAGTGGAGAGTGTGCAGCCAGGTTTACTTAACAAGGAGTTGGCCGAACAAAGAGACGCAAGCTGGTAGAGCACAAGGAAGGACCTAGACTCTAGGTCCTAGAGAAATAAATGTGAAGCCTAAGTGTTCTTATTGCTGCTGCCGATGAAAGCACATGATGGCGAGTGTGTGTGTGGATGACTGTGTGTGGGAGGGGCGGGTTGATTAGTCGATGAGTGTCAGGTGTGCCAGCCAGAGTCCAGTGGGAGCTGGAGCAGTGCCACATAAACAGGGAAACATATGCACACGCACATACTCAGAGAGTGCAGGGAGACCTTGGAGATGCATGCACTATTTGGGGGTAAAAATGAATGTAGTCTAATCCAGTAATAGAAGTGTACAGTGTGCAGAATAACACAAACACCTGGCACAGCCCCTTAACCTGTAATACATGACACAAAAAAGCAACAAATTTCCAAAACCTGCAACTGACTGTAGATAATGTTCCAACATAAGAAAATATCTGCAAAAAAACAACAAAAAAGGCACATTTAAAAATATTCAATCCTCCAGCAGAAGGTTTGGTTCACTTTCCTCCCTCTGACATGGTCTAAATGAAAACTAATGTCAGTGTCGGGTACTGCTTTTAATGGCGCGCCACCTCAGCGCTGGTGGCGTTTAATTCCGTGGATTTTCTCTGGGTGCTTTTCATTTTTTCCCCTCCGTCCTTGAGCTTCGTCTGCTGCTGAAAATCACGCCAACCAATTTGTTCTTCTGTTTAATTAAAATGCAGGTCACCCGCTTTTAAGAGATCTGCAGTTTTTATAGTCGATTATTCAAAATCTTCTAAATTGTCCAAATTTGTTGTATGAAATAAATTCAAGTAAAACACTTGGAGAATGACAGAGGTGTGTAGGGAGTAACAGCAGGGCCTGTCCACATGTACACGGGTATTTTGGAAAGCATTTGGGGGCATTTTGTCCTTTTGTTACCATATAAACTCTCTTTTTGGTCGGAGGTGTCAAAAACATTATCAGTGAATTCCCAGTAATGTTTTATGTTGGTAAAGAACATGTAGCTCTACTTACTGAATAAACATGTAATTGTCCCTTTTGCTCTAATCGGTTTCAGGTCCAAGGAGAGATCAAGAGGAAGTGGAGGAGGTGGCACCTGCAGAGATACATGGGCTCAGACACCAAATACCAGCACCCGTCTATTGGCAGCAGCAACAACTTCAACACCCAGATCACCATGTTGACACGGTGCAGCCCGAAAACTCGCCGGGCTTCATTATCCTGTCACGATGACTTGTCTAGCATCTGAGTCACAGTGACACAGACACACAAAATGCTGTACAAAATGCTCTCATGCCAAACATTAGGCAGAACGTCGCAGCATATATAAGCTTTACCATAAGTACTCTTGGGTCATGTGTGTGGTGCAGAAGATGGAAAGTGATGAAAGGATTGGAAAAAGAGATATAAGGACACGATGTGACCATAATCAGCTTTGAAGCAGTTTGTAACTGTTCCAAAAAATACATTTAAATGAGAAGGTAAGTTGCACATTGCTTAACAAACAAAGCGTTTGCGGAGAGAGTCATTTTTGCGCAGGTCATCTGTACAGGTGAATTCAAGTCATATCACTACAGCTCTTATTTTTTAAATATCCTGTGTGCTTAGGTGAGTGGGCTGGTGTAACTCTGAGCCTTGTGCACTCCTGCAGCTCCAAATAGTCAAGTTTTGTGCTAAAGCTTTGGAAGAAATTGAGGTGATGTATTTTTCTAATAGCAGCATTACAGGCTAACAAAGGTACTATACCAGAACTGGACTGTGAGGGTGTGTTTGAGTGCTGAATGTAAATAGTGCTGGAAAATTTGCTTTAAAACATACTTTAGAGTATCCAAAATAAGCATAATACTACACTTCCCCCCCTTTGCTGTGTAGGAAGACAGAAAAAAAGACAGGCTTACAGAGCAGGAAACTTTATTTCCATAAATGCCAAACAGATTAGGCTTCAGGCCAAGTGATGCTGATTCACAATGATGGGTTTGGAGCACAAATGCCCTTCTCTGCACTATCATGCTCATGAGAGACCGGTTGCCCTTTGCCTTCTTTTATCAACACAGCCTTCCCTCTTGGCGTGTGCGATTCTGAGCCTATGATTAGGTAGATATTTTTCATTATTTAGGGCACTGTGGCGGTTTTGTGTCGATCACTGACGAGTGCCTGGGTTTGGTGTGTTGAACCGACTTCTGCGGTCTAGTCTTTGCTGGCTGTTGGGCAGTAAAGCAGCTCTGAAGAGGAGATGTCCATATGCAGCTCATTCCTTGAATGTTTACATTTACTTGGGAAGAGTTATAAAAATGATGCACAGTCAAGTGTGCAGTGTAAATAAACTTGGAATGCTTGTGCCATACACATCACATTGTGGTTATAATAATAGTAATGAATCACTAAGTGTCGTTTTTTTCAAATTAAAGCATGACAGGATTCAGAATCTTCTGAATCTCCATTATGCATAATATTTTTTGAATTCTTCAGGTTCAGACTTACTTCTCCATCGGAGGAGTCTGAACTTGACAAGTCAGCAGAGAATGTTAGATCCTGTATGCAAAGCAAAGTGACAAGGATGACTGGCCCTGTCACAACGATGCTGTCTTTGTGCTTTTGACCTCACGTAGGTTTGAAAGTAAGGCTTGTTCATACTAGAGGGAACAACGGGGGGATCCAGCTTTACACGGGAGGAAGGAAATCATCTCAACCCACCAGTGATTTAAAGGTTTAGATCATCAGTAAGTTTAAGAATAATAAAAAAAATCTAATGTGGTAATATGTGTCAAGGAAATATTGAATATCAATATATCGCCTTCAGATTGCTGAAAGTAATAATTATACATTTAGAGAAAAGGAAAAAGATTGGAACCACTTTCATATTGTGGTCAGAAGTTTACATACACTCATCATGCAGGTGAATGACATGCTAATTTTGCAGCGACTTCTTTCTTGATCAGCACTTCACTGTGGACAGTGACACTTAATCCTTGGCGGTTCCTGCCTTGTTCCTGAACATCTAACCAATTTGCTCTCATCTAAGGGTGACATTTTCAGTCTTCTTCTAGACCAGGGGTGGGCAATCTCAGTCCATGAGGGCCGGTGTCCCTGCAGGTTTTAGATGTGTCCTCGAACCAACACAGCTGATTTAAATGGCTAAATTAGCTCCTCAACATGTCCTGAAGTTCTCCAGAGGCCTGGTAACAAACTAATCATGTGATTCAGGTGTGTTGACCCAAGGTGAGATCTAAAACCTGCAGGGACACCGGCCCTCATGGACTGAGATTGCCCACCCCTGTTCTAGACCTTGGCAAAGTGGTAACAGAACTTATGTACAATTGTTTGAACAATTTTCCTGGAATCTGCAGTATCTGCAGTAGAAATGGCTCCAAGAGATCCAACTAGAACCTACCATGTGTAGTCAATCATGATCAGTAACAAGAAGAATAATGGGCCTTGACCTTGTCAAATTAAAAGACATTGTGAAACTTCAGCACTGTATTTATACTGTTGACCCTCTTGGGGTTTCCTACAATTGATGGTAAATTCAAAGTTGTGCACCCAATTCAGTTTTTAAATGTGTACTTTTAAAAATGGATGCTGTACAATCTTTCCATCCAACATTTCAAAAATTGCAATCACACTCATATCAAAAGAACCAGTAAGTTACTGTACACAGAAAACATGCATTACTTCATTAATTCTTGGTCTACTCACCTTCCAAGGGACAATTTCAAACAACCAGCCCAATTAAACTAGTAACACGTACGTTTGGACTTTTCATTTTAATGGGAAGTAATCATTGCAGGTTGGAATAGGTAGGTCAGTTCTCGACCATTATTCTCCACAAGTGCATTCATTAGTATTTCTGGGATGTTGTGGCATGTCCATGTTCTGATTATGCCACAGCAGTTCAGCGGGGTTAAGGTCAGGACTTTAGCAAAACATGAATTTATTGCTGATTTACTTTCTGTGCTTTGGGTCATGGTCTTGGTGCATTAATCATTCACTTTAAGCTTCATGTCATGTGCTCTGCTACCCAGACATGATCCAAATTTAAACTAATAATTTCCTCAATGATTGTTGGGAGTCAGATTTTGTTTCACACGTCTAGAGGAGATTGTCTCTGTTTAGAATAATGTTTTCCTCCATATTGTCCTTCTATTAACCCCATTCTTGTTCAGTGTTCTTAGTGGACAAGGTCTTAACAAGTTACAGGTGTTTTGTTCTCTCTCTTTCACCTCCTTTGAGATTGAATAAAATGTTCAGGACACCCACAGAGAATATCAGCAGTTCTTTAGTTTGTAAAAAATTTGTCTTATTGTGCATTTCTGAACACCAAGGTTGTTTGAAATGCTTTAGTAGTGATTTTCTGCTTCAGGCATCTCTATAACGATTCTTGTCTTTGTGGTCTCCTGAAGATGTTTGCGATCAAAGCACGGATCACACCAGCCAACCTCTTTTGAGAAAAGTCAGGCTATTTTTCACTGCACTTATATCCTCCTTGATTGAAACACCTGACTCCAGATAGAGTTTTGGTAGAGTTATTATCACAGTGTGTGTTTGTGTTCAATCAAGGACATACAAAGAGTTATATAAAGTACTGCTGATTTTGTATTATTACACCACTCAGAAAATTTAAGGGAACACTTGATCAACACAGTGTAACACAAAGACAGTTAAACTATTATGACACATTCTGTCCATTCAGGTTTCACAGGAAGTCCAGCTCCTCCAGGGTGGCACGTCCTAACAAACTGTCAGAGCTGGACTCTGTGAGGGTGGCTAACCTTAGTAATAATAATAATAATAAAAAACTTTATTTATAGACGCGTTTAAAGACCCTCAAGGTCACCTTACATTAGTACAAAAAAATAAAAACATAAGGTAAATGAAAAATAAAAAACACGTATAAAAGTATAAAAGCAAGTATAAAAGCTAAACAAGGACAAAATAGACTAAGATGGAATCATGATGAAGGATATGCAATTTTGAATAGATGGGTTTTAAGACGGGATTTAAAAGTGGAGAGAGAGTTTGTCGTCCGGAGATCTGGTGGAAGTGTATTCCAAAGTCTCGCTGCAGAACAACTAAAGGCTCTGAGTCCCATAGTCAACCTTACAACAGCATGTATGGATGTGCCACCCCAGGTGAGCTGGAATGGGGTGCAGGTGATAACTCTTGTAATGAGCAGGGGTATTTGGGAGGGTGGGGGTTGTCCCGTTCTTGTCTTTCACCTGTTGCACCTGTTGTAACTGTGCAAATTCACAGTGGTTTATATTTCCTAACTGGATAGATTAGTGTCCCTGAAGTTTAACTTTTTTTTTTTTTATTTATTTATTTTAACAGTGTAATTTAGTTAGACTGCGTTTTTAGTTCTGAGTTACATGATGACCAGATCACATAATGCATGAACCCTAGGAATTCCAAATAGTTCACAAACATTACTGACTCTAGCTTCATATTTAGTGTGCACACATGAGTCAATTTAAGTTGCCTGATATTGCAACTTATAGACCATGCAGAGAAATCCCCAACAATCAAGCGACTGCCTACGACTGACCATTTGGCGACAGTGGGAAGAAAAAAAAAACTTTTAACAGGAAGAAACCTCCGACAGAACCACACTTGGGGAGGGCCAGCCAGGACAAAAGGCACATTGCGGAAGAGAATCAGAGATTAAATGCCATTTTTCACGTTGCTTATAAGTGTGTGCTTAAATACTCCTACATTTTTAGCGTCTGTCTTTTGTCATCAGTAACTTTAGTGTAATTTTGTGAATTTTCCAGTATACCTCTTAAAATGGTGAATGTAAATAGATGTGTACAAAGTGGGAAAGCAATTATATTAGACAATGTTTCTCAAATTCAGTCACATATGTCTCTTGGGTTGATTGTTTTGGTTACCAAACATTAAAAAGGGATAATATATATATAAAAGAGTGCACTTAGAGTAACTATGTGCAATGTAAATCTGATTTTTTGTTAACTGGATAATGTGTTGTGCATATCTGGGTTTAAGATCATTTGTTTGGTTTGCTGTTGTGCGGTTTGTGTAAGACTGGTGTAAAGCATTACATTGTAAATCTGCAGTTGTACAATTTGCTCACATCTGTGTACACATAAAGCCATGCTTTCCTTTTAAAAACTGCTTAATGTGCTAATTAATTTTGCCATTTTAATGTGTAACTTTAAAGGTGTTATATCAGCAAAAAACTTACCTTACCAAAAAACCTTTCTCCTCGTGTATTGTATGAAATAAATTATTCAGAAACACACGAGAAAGTGGAAGTCTAGTGTCCCTTTGTAAAGTTCCTCTGTGCTTCAGTATTGTTTTAAATTCCTATACCTTTAACGTAAAATGAGCTTTTTTTGTGAAAGATATGCTACACCATGCTTTTGTTACCAAAGTCAGACTTATTTTCATAAGGGCTTTTGGCTACTCAACAAAGGCTCGGCTTTAACCTCCTAGGACCTGGCGTCCACATATGTGGACATCACATTTTGGGTTATTTAGACTAAAATATTCAATTTTGCTCTACATGGGCCTGATATCCACTTACGAGGACATTATACTGCTACTGTTCTATCAAAATTTGAAACCAATATCCTCATTTTTCTTAAAAACATAAATAATGTATAAAAAAAAATCTGATCATTCTTTTTTTTACATTCATCGGGCCCAATATGCCCAAATATCAAAGAGAAATTAAAAATGCATGCCGTGGAAGAGTTCAGGCCTTAGGCGGTTAAGTCACTTATTTCTTTATATAACTCTGAGGAAGACTCACTTAAAGCAAGTTTTTCATGCAAATATGCTAATGCCTGCAATAAGAACAAAAATCTGCCCTCCTTTCCTTGTATATTTAAATATTCACATTTTACACCCATTTCCTCTTTGACCAGCAATTCTGATCATGTTTAGCAAATAAAAATGTGTCTATTTCAGGACAAATTTCAGCTAATATGAGTGCGCAATATTATCACAAGGGAGTACGATTCGATTCTTGTGGCAACAGCGTGTTTGTAGCAGACAACCCAATGGGTTGAAAACACTCCCTCTCTGCACCCCACACAAAAGTATTATCCCATTAAATGGCTGTAGTTTTTCCCTTCATTATGTGCCGTTACAGGTCACAGTGCCCTGAGAAGAACAAAATATCTTAAAACTTACACAATACACTTTTTCCCCTCCCGGGGCTTCAGCTATTCAGTTAAGCAAAGAAAGAATAATCAGATTTACATAAGTGGGCGACATATATTTATACATATATTTAGAGAGTATCTTCCACCAAGGGCGGGCCAGTGGTTTACAATGGAAGAACTCACTGAAATCTCACAAATCTTGAACAATCCTGACAATATAAACTTCTTGACATAAAATAATCATTTATGCCAATAAGATTTGTAAAGACTTGAAGAGTTCAGTTGTTTGACATCTGCGTCATCTTTCCACTGCCTTAAAGATGACAGTAATGGTCCCATGCATTAGGAGCTAAGCAGAACAAACAGTTAATTATTGCTGGTGGGAAAATGGCTTTAAAATTCATTTTTAGCGTTTCATGTAGAAAATGTATTCATTATGTTTGTAAGATGTTGTTGCTCAATTTGGATACCCGGGTTAGTAGTACATTTCTGCACCTCACAAACATTTACACCTATTAAAGATGACAAAAACGTGAAAAATACAGGAATTTTGCAGAGGTTTGTCTTATGGATTTTGATTTTCTTAATCAAATTAAAACAGCTGATTGGCTACTGTGTCTGATTTTGTGTTTGTTACAATGTGTTGCAACATCAATGAAATAAAATGCTGCATTAAAAAAAATCACTACAATTTGGCCCTCAGAGATATTTTTCTTTAAGTAAAAATATACATATATGAATGAAAGTAAAGATTCCTGCACCTCAAACTGATTTTCAGTATTTGATAGATATGACTGACCCTCAGAGTTTGCTTTTGTGTATAAAACTTCAGCTATTAAAGTTCATCCTTATGTTGTCCCTCATTTTTATTTCTACAATTCACTGACTTGAGTGTGGGGCACCTCGTGCGGAGTTCAGC